CAGGCCCGGGCAGGCCCGGGCCTTTTGACAAGCCTCTCTCGCTCGCTCTCTCTCATACACACAGAAACATACATGAAATACACATTAGTGCCTGGAGACCTTGTGGGCCAGCCGTCCAAATATTTAATAACTCAGAAGCAGGTAGGCACTGACCAGTCACGGGTCGGACCGCCTGCTGTCCTCGGTGTTAACCCTTTCTAATCTGGGTGGTGGCGAAGTCTGGAATGTGGGCGGATCCTTGGGGAGGAACTGGGACAGCCCAGTGTGTGTTGGGTGGCATTTGAGGCTCATTCATGGTGATAGTGGCTGTTTACCAACCAGTACAGAACGTCTCGATATTTTCAGAAATGGGATAGCTGTGCTGGTTTTGATGACTATCAGCCCTGTATAGAGCTACAACGCACACGTGTGTATAGAGACACATGCACACCACATACAGAAAAGCGTTCTGAAAACACAAATGAACACTCTTCTATACAGACGAGCTTCCTCATTGTTTTATGCCCACAGGATTTATCTGCATCACACACCTAGAGGGGGAACCCTTAATCACATTTTTAGGGTTGTTTGGAGGGACAGGGCGGGAGAAGGGAACCCAGTGAAGGGCAGTGACACAGTTCCCTGACCAGGTTTGGGCCTGAACGGTGGATTGAGGCCTGCAGAGTCCGAAGTTCATGCCCGCCCTAGATTCTCCTCGTGGCTACCTCCTCAGAGTCACCCGCATCCTCACACTGGCAGGCAGGATGTTTTGAAACAGTGTGGCCAAAGACCTCGTCCAGTTTGTCTGGCTCCCTAAGAACATGTCCATATTTGAAGGCTGCCTCCGGCCTGACCAGCTGAAGCAGCTGTGGTCCCTGGAGGCGAAAGGCAGTTTATGGGTCCTGCCATTTTCAGCCAAGCTTCATCTGGGGCAGGGCCAAGAAGAAAGTACAGAGTGCTTTTGGTGGGGGGAGTCACATCAGGATGTGCCCCCTCCCCTGAGAAGCCCGTCTTCTTCCCCGTGGACAGAGGTCGTGGTGACCATGGTTGCAAATAGTGTGGGGAATTTCTCCTTTAGGGCTCTGGGCAGTGTTGCTCAACTCAGGATGGGCTGGGTGTTTTATTTGGGGTTTTTAAGTTATTTATGGCTTGGTGTCCTTGTTTTGTGGCTGTGTTTTTGCTTTTGTTTCTGCAGGAGTGCCTCTCTGAAGCAGGCTGGGCCTGAGGGCCTCAGCACTTGGCTTCTGGCATAGGGAAAAGACAGGACGGGGAGCCTTCCTTCAGACAGAGCCAGCCTGGGTGGCCACATGGCGGCCCACAGTGCCCCACTGGCTTTGCTGTTTGACCCCCATGTGAGGTGGCGCTCAGAAGCCACCAGTGTTCTTGCTGAGTGTCCAGAAGCAGCAGAGATGAACTGCCCTCACCCCTCCCTGGGAAGAGGCTGGATTTGAAAATCCCTCCCAGGCCCTAACACATTTCCTGAGGGCCCGGGGCCTTGTGACCAAGCAGCCAGTGTGCCCACAGTGGAAGCCCTTTCCTACTCCCACCCTAAACCCAGCAGCAGAGCTCAGTACCACCTCGGAGCTTGCAGGGAGCTGCAGCAGTTCACTGAGGGCTGCCCAGCTCCTTTTCTGATTGCCTGGACAACCTCTATGTCAATAGGACCCATTGTCAAACCCAGAGGACTGGATTTGGTTTGAGTAGTGTGGGAACCAGGGAAGTACAGATGCTAGGTCCAGCTGGTGTTGCCGGGGAAAGGGAAGAGTGTGCCCTGACAGGAAGCAGCTGGTTGAAAAGGTGGGGACAGCAGCTATCTTGAGGGATTTGTTCATCAGTGCATTTGAGGTGCTGGGTGTCTATCCCCAGGGGCTTCGGTCATTCCAGGAGGCTTTCATGCTTGCTTTTACAGCTCAAGAATAAGTTGTGCAGGGAGACGGCTCCAAATTGGAGATCCAAGGAATATCAGCTCCAAAAATGTGACCAGGTCCTGGACGTTCCTGGCAGGTCCGGAAGTGCTGACCGTTCTTCCCCACCCTCCACCGTGCTCCCTCCTCTGTGAGGAGTGAGGGTGCTGGGTCTAGGGGCCAACCCTCCATCCAGGGCTCTTTCTTGGGCCCTCCTAGTGTGGACAGCAGATGTCATCCATCCTTCCTACACCTCTGAGGCCAAGGCCTTCATCTCTCAGCTCTCTGAGGACGGTCCCGAGAATGAACCTTTGAGACTTCTCAGGACATTGACGATGTGCACACTGCAAGTTAATTTATTGTGTAAAAAGAAGAGATAGACTATACCTTATTATTTGCAAGGGATGCAAGACTGTACCCAAATCAAGAAAGATAAGTTTTTAATAATAGAAACCATTCACACGCTCTATTCACATAAGGACACCTGAAGACAATTCAGAATACAAGTGGGAGTAATCGAAGAGCACCAGCACCATGGTGGCCCCGGGATGTCATCTAAGAAGATTCCTTGCTTCCTCTCTTGCTGATCTGAAGATGTGACATTAGGGTTCTTTCTGCTGTACTTCCTTTATCCAGCTGTCTGAGATAGGACACGAGTAGGTGTGTTGCCTTGAAACAACACAGGGCTCAGTGATGCTCTGAGAACCCTTGGGGTATGGGGAGAGACAGTGTGGGGGTAACTACACACTGTGGACATGGTTGAACAAGTATTTGGAATTTTCAACCTGGAGCTGGGATGGAGAAGGTGATCCCCTGGGGGCTGTGCCTCCTTTTCTAGTAAGCCTGCCCTGGTTTCTCGTCTGTTCCAGCTGCTCCATCAGTAGCCTTTCCTTCCACAGTTTCCCCCTGCCTGGAGACAGTGGGGGCTGTCGAGGCCTCCCCTCCACCAGCCGCCCGCCTCCCAGCACCAGAGGCCCATTCAGCAATGGGTATTTACTCACTTTCCTTCTTGCCGATGAGTTTTTTAGTCCTGCCCATGTAAGTGGTTCAGAAAGTTCCAGGTCTTGGTGAGATAGGGAGTGTTCAACTCACACAGGCCATCTTCCTGCTGCCTGTCCTCGGTTTCCCCTCTGGGTCTGTTTGAAAACTGTGGCATGGATGAGGATCAGGGGGTCCTTGGGGGTAGTCAGTGGAGGGCAGGATCCCCAGGTCCCCACGGAGAGCGCGAAGGAAGCCCAGAGATGCAGCTCTGTAGCAATCCCCTCAGGGGGTCACTGAGTCATTCTCCCAAGGCTGAGGAACAGTAAAGAATCCCAGCCTGCTGTCTCTATGTGATATACGCACTTAAAAGTAAGTAACTAAATGAACAGAAAAGAAATGCTTCATGGCAAATTCACTGCTTGTCTGGGAGCTCTGCCTGGGAGCTGCTGCTAGTGGGATAGGGCAGCTGCTGATCAAACCCCAAAGAACAGAGGGCTTTGATCCCACGATGACATCTTTCCTTCCCACCTCTGCCACCTGGTGAACTTCCAGCAGGAGGTCATGGAGCCCTTGTCCCTGAAGATTGACTGGTGGCCTGGGTGATAAGGAGATAGAGACATCACAGGGTCTGGTCCTGACCCTAAAGGTCTCTTCTGGCCCTGGGTGACAAGGGCCTACCCCTGGATAGGACAAGAGCAAAAGGCCGGATGACTGTGTCCCCAAGACAGCTTCTCCCACCCCATCCCCAAAGTCTGAAAGTGAAGCTAGGTCTCGAAGGCCTAGACCCTGAGGCAGGGAGAGGTAGGGAGAGGAAAAGGGGTGAGGAGGGAACAGATGCCTGCAGAAGCCAAGTGGGTCCTACTGACTTGTATAGGCTGAAAGGAGGGCCATTGCAGGAACCCAGGGGCCCGCAGTTGGGGGGTTGCTTATGACAATTCCCCAGGACAAGGCCTGGCTGGATGGGAGGGAGAAGCTCAGGCCTTCCCAAATGCAGCCACGTCTCCTCTCAACTGTCCACTTTCAGAAATATCGGAAGCGGCTCCTTACCTCAATGCATGAAGCAGAACTGGCCATTCCTGCCGTCTCAAGTGCTTCAAGATCCTGTGGTCTTGTGTCCTTTGCACCCCATGACGGTGCACGGAGGACAACTCTGTTATGTGTTTCCCAGGATCTTCACAGCCTGGCTCATGTTGTAGGCCAGGTACTTTTTGGGGAATCAGATGGCCCATGTAGCCTGCTTCCTCTAACATTGGACTTGAGCTGAGCACCCCCTGAAGTCTCCATCTCATCTGTATACTCTAGTCCAGGTTTGCTTGATCCCTGCTCCCTTCTGGATCCTGAACACACTGTCATTTTGCCAAGACCTCAGCTCTGTGTCTAGTTTCATGGCTACATTGTACAAGACACCTCCTTCGTGGCCGTACGTATGTGGCCAAGGTCTGTACAGATGTGTCCACACGTGTGTATGTGTAACATGTAGCTCATTTTCGGCCTCCAGTGCTGTCCCACATTGCTCCCAGCCCCCTTGCTGTCATTGTCATCCAGATGTCCTTGCCACAGACAATCTGCCATCTCCCGGAAATGCTGGGGCTGCCCTTCAGAGAGCTGGCAGCCACCAGCGGTCAGGGTCCGCTTTGCGGAATAGAATGTGAACCTGTCGCCCGATGGCTTACTTGACTTATTTAATTAAAAGTGAAAACATGAGCAGAATTTGCAGTGTGCCTCTGCCTTTGCTTTGCACTTGCCTCCAGCAGCAATTGGGTCAGAAATTAACAGAAAAAAGCATTAACAGCAGTAAGAAAGAGGCAACTTCCTGCCAGAAGCAGGACAGAGAAGCCCCCTGCCTATTCCCAAGGGGCAAAAGGTACAAGGGAAGGACAAGATGTGAACAAGTGTTGGGTTATCAGGCTGGCAGTGG